TTTAATAGTAAAACGAAATAGTTAAGTATAATTTATAACCACTATAACGTAACGTTATCTTAACGGCATCGTGGAAACTTATCGTATGATATATAAATAAAGAGAGTTAAAGCAATGCCCGCAGGGTATACGTAAACGTATCTAATGACAGCTACGCAGGCGCAACAGCTATTTTTCCCACGTCTCTATTTACGTCTGATGTAAACGTATGCCTAATACGCATTCGTATCAAACCGAGCAAATACTTCGGGAGCATCCGATCACACCCGATTAATAAAAGTAATGACAGACTGTAACTCTTATTATGTTTTGTGCTTCTCAAATTCTAAACCATAATATGAAATAAGATTCATTTTTATTTTATATATGCACAAAAAATATTTCAGAGAACATAATCGCTAAAATCATTTGTTGTAATCGTAGCCAAAAGAGCCTTAACAAATCTAAATATGTCGCTCTTTTTAATCGACAGAAACTCATTTAATTTCAAACAGGTTAATGAAATTGAATCTCTAATATAAAACACCTCTATTTTCCAAATTTTTTTACATGTAGAATTTGGAACCTTACAGCATCATCTAAAGCATCACCATCTCATTAAAAGCACCTAAAATCAAAATTTTCTCTATAACTTATAATACTTTTCTCAAAAAATAACTACGGGTATAAAGTTGTAGATACGTTTACGCAAATGTTTTTGCTTTAACTAGAGAGTTAACGCAACGCTAGATACGTACGCGTATCTCTCTGACTTAAACGTAGAAATTGACGATACATTTAACGTGTAATCTGAAAGAAAAAGATACTTAAAGCAAAAACATTGACGTTATCATATCTACAACTTTATAACCGTAAGTACTTTTTGAAAAAATATTTTTTAGTTATAGAGAAAATTTTGATTTTGGGGAATTTTAATAACGATGATGCTGTACCCAGATAGCACACGACGTCTGAAAGACGTCTTTTTTGTGTCTTGGTTTGGTCTCAATGTCCTAGGACAGTGTTCTGCAAACTCATTAGTCAATAGAGTCAAATAGAAACGGTACAACGACTGAAATTTATTTTGAGAGCCAATTTTTTTAATACTAAACTATTATATAGGTAGGTGTATAGTTATTTACTTTTTTTTTTTGTTAGAGTACTGTTACTAGTAATTATTGACCAACCTACAATTTTAATCCAAAAATCCTAAAAACTAATTACTTATCTAAGAAGTCCCCATTGGGCTGTCTTAATTGTTTCTATAGGAAAGCATCACAAGTTGGTGTGACAATTTATTACACTGTTTTAAACTAGCACTAACATTAACGCTCACTGCCCTAGCTCAAATGGCTTCTTTCTTTTGAGCCTTCTGTTGAGTGTAGAGTTATCCAGTAATTACAACGTGGGAGTGGAGTCGGCCCTCATGTTACGCTGCAAACCTCTTTATTTCTTCTTCAATTGTTTGCATCTTCAGGTCTCTATGAAGATAATCGTTTCGATAGAACCAAGGTGCATCAACAATGCATCTTAGGACTTTATTTTGGAAAACTTGTTACCATGCTGATATTACTCTTGCTGGCACATCCCCATAGCTGTATGCCATAAATCCAGATTGGTTTTAGGATTTGTTTATAAATCAGCAGTTTGTTGTACACTGACAATTTGGATTTTCTTCCTAGGAGCCAATAAATTTTTTTAAATTTAAGTTCAAGTTCTTTACGCTTTCTTTTTATATGTGCTCTTTCCATTTAAGTATTACATCTAGGTTCATCCCTGGGTATTTGATCGAATCGTGATGCGGAGTATCTTCACTGTTTATTCTTATTTGTTTTTGTTCATTTGGTCAAAGAGTAAAATCAACATGCACTGATCAATATAAGCCATTAATAAGACGTCTTAAAGACGTCCTCTTTTGTAACGTCAGAAATCTTCTCAGACGTTTTAAAGACGTCTTTCAGGAAATACCAGACGTCTTAAACACATGATGTAAAAAATTTGAAAAATAAAGGTGTTTTATATTAGAGATTCAACCTGTTTGAAATTGAATGAAAGAGTCTTTCGATTAAAAAGAGGGACATAATTAGACTTGTTAGGGCTCTTTTGGCATGCCAAATATTATTACAACAAATGATTCTAGCAATTGTTTTCTGAAATATTTTTGTGCATATATAAATTACAAATAAATCATATTATGATTCAGAATTTGGTAAGCACATAACATTCCGTGTGTTCCTTATATCACCGAATATTACCGGTGTGGTTAAAGCGGTTACTAGCGTTTTCAGGACGGTTTCTTTTTTGGTTATTGGTAAGTTAAATATTTACGGAACGCTTGTAAATGTTAAATGTCAAATCAATGCATTTTTTGTTGGATGTTGATGTTTGGATGTCTTTTATATTTATGAACTTGAACTAGATATTAGTGTTTGATGTTTTTACGTTTGCTAAAATATTCCTTCTTCCAAAATTAAAAAAGTCCAAAACAAATTTAACTGATATGACACATGATTATCACAAATGTCAACGTCAACCATAACAACCGATGAAAAAGTTTGGTCACTTTGGTGAGAGCTGGTACCAACCGCATTTCAGGAACTTTGTCCCGTAAATCTACAATTTTTAGGAATTTGACATTTACGGAACGCGATTTTACTAACCAGGTTAACCAAGGTGATATACGGAACAGCAGGATTATAAGTTACAATCTGTCATTCTTTTTATTAATCGGGTGCGATCGGATGCTCCCGAAGTATTTGCTCGGCTCGATACGAACGCGTATTGGACATACGTAAGAACACGTACGTTTACGTCAGACGTAAATAGATACGTATGGAAAATAGCTATTGCATATACGTATCTATCATTAGATACGTTTACTTATACGCTGCTGGCATTGCTTTAACTTTCTACTATCATTTTCTTTCAAACGCATCGTCAATTTCTACGTTTACTACAGAGAGATAGGTACGTATTTGGCATTCCAACGACCTGTCACCTGTGGCCTGCTGTTATTGACAGGGTAAATAGATACATATATAGTTGTATAGATTGCTAAAAGCGGGTCCTTTTGCAAGCGGCCATATTGAATCCCAAGTACTCATTAATCAGAATCAGTTTGGCAAAACCAATTTTTAGCTTTTGAATATAGTAAAAAAATAATTACCTACATTTTTACTTCAATGCATAAACTTATAAGGGAAGCAAAAGCGATACTAGCGCTTGCTGCGGATAATTCGTGCATTTTAGGGCGATATTTTGTAATTTTGGCATATCAAATACACGTATACATTTTACTTTTTTTCAGAAAAGTAGGTAAAAACAATACAATAAGCAACCGGAGTTGCTGTGTTGAAAATTGTACAAATACTAGCAAAAAAAAACCAGTGAAACTTACATTAAAAATTTTAGTAGCAAAGTGGAAATTAAATCAAAGAAATAAATGAATAGGTGTACAATAAGAAGAAAAATTACCTTTATTTTTGTAACAATAACAGTAATGCTGGAAATAGTAGACATCAGAAACTTGAAAGGTTTTAAATAAACAATAAATTATCATTTTACGATGTTCTTTAATATCCCTTTATTCTTAAATGTTCATTCAGCAAGGACTAGAGTTCAGATTTCTGCTTTTGATTATTATATGTGGCTGGAATGCAATTTTGTGACTTACTGATGGGAAACTAGTTTTAATCATTCATTCTATGTTTTCTTTCGAACAAAAATGAGAATATAAATAACGATCCTTTTTTATACATTTTAACTTCACGCTATTATTAAATGGTATTTTTTTATTTTGACAGAATAGTCTAATTCTTCAGTGACAACTTATTAGACTTAGGCAACTTCTCATACATTTTCCAGTAAATACTGTTACCCGTCTATATTTTATTATTGATTTTTATTGATTATACATAATTTTCTTTAATTTAAGCGATAAAAATATATAATAATTATAAATTAATGTTTTACTTGTTTTACAAATCCATATACTTTTATTAAAACTAACATATATACTTTTTAATTACGAATTCTATTAAAAATTGTATTTGTCAGTATACACAGAAATAGTCCATTAGTACCAAAACGCATTGGCGCTGCTGTCGCGCACGGAGCGAATATAACTATTTCATTGACCCTGTCAAATCACTAGGCTTACAGGGTTGCCATGATGTTGCCATATTATAACCTATCAAAACTCACTGGTAGCCATTTTGTTTGGAATGCCTAATAGTTTTATAGCATTTCTTTAACTCTCTAAAGTCTATTTATAAATGTCCGTAACGTATGAATTGAACATGCGTGTTGTATTAAAGAGATTATCAAATTATAGACAACCTTATAAAATAAACAAGTATAAACTATGTATCTAACCTCTAAATTAAACCCTTAAATTAAAATTCTGGTATATACAGGGTAGTCCGTTAATAATGGGATACATTATTAACGCACCACCCTATAGAAAAAATATATTAACTAATTTAGAAGAAATAATAGAAAAATATGTATAATAAATCAACTAGTTTCCTGACGATGTTGATTGTTTTCGAGCAATAATCAGAATTAATTATCCCTAACAAAATAGTTTTTTGTATCTCGTTCAGAGACTACTCAATACCTTCTCAACCATAAGCATATTATCTGCTCTCAAATCTGAGCACTTATTTTCGGATCCTTAATTTAAATAACTGTTAGTCGCCTAATACTAATAACAGCAAGCAATTATCAACGATTTTTAATTGACTTCAAACAAAAAAGTAGGTTCTCAATTCGTCGGAACATTTTTAATTCTTTACTTTACAACGTTGTCCGATTACTATGAGTCCGCAAAAGTTGTGCCGTATTAATTTGGTCAAGAGCCGATAACGGAATCCATGAGAAAATCACCAAATTCTTTATTTTTGGAGTCGGTTTTTTAAAATTGCTCATGTATATTGCAAAAATTATATAGAATGAGATCACAAACAACTTTTATTAATCTATTTTTCGAAACTCCCTAAATATTGAACGTTTATTTTTAGGATGGTATGATAGAAAAAATATAGGCGATTTTAGAACGATCATCGATATCAATTTTGTAGCAGCAATGGGACCACCAGGAGGTGGCAGAAATCCTGTAACTCCTCGTTTGTTAAGACATTTTCATTATATCACATTTCTAGAAATGGAAGATGACAGTAAGGTATTTAAACTTATTCTTAGATTTTTGCAATGAAAATTCTGTAAATGGTAAAAATAAAATTGATTCTATTTTCAGATAAAAATCTTTGGTACGATTCTTCGTCCGTGGTTAACCAAAGGCCCATCGCATTTTAAAAGCTACTATTCGCCTATTTTACAGTCGACTTTAACTGTTTTTGCGACCATATTACAAGAACTATTACCAACGCCTGCCAAAACTCATTATACATTTAACTTGAGAGATTTGAGCAAAGTGTTTCAAGGAATGCTTATGTTAGATGCAGAAATACTTAAGGTAAACATGGATTTAAGAAAGTAAGAGCCGAATATAATGACAATGAGTTAAATTTCTGGTCGTTTCAATACATTTTTTTTTGCTTTCGTTTGGTTGTTATTTATGATACCAAAGTTCTCGGTATTTTTGATTATGTCTGAAACACTATATTAGTTAATTTCAGAGTACGTACTATCACTCTGTCATTATCTGACATCATTTGAAATTCTTACTTTGTTACTTTTATTCCAGTTTATTAATCTTTTTCTCGAAAATGGCCAGAGCTCAATAGTTTTTTAATAAATTAGAAATAAATTAAAATTAAATTAGTAAAAAAATAGCAATAAATTAGCAATAAATTGTCAATAAATTAGCAATAAATTAGCAATAAATTAGTAATAAATTAGTAATAAATTAGTAATAAATTAGTAATAAATTAGTAATAAATTAGCAATAAATTAGCAATAAATTAGCAATAAATTAGCAATAAATTAGAAATAAATAAGCAATAAATAAGCAATAAATTAGAAATAAATTATCAATAAATTATCAATAAATTATCAATAAATTATCAATAAATTATCAATAAATTATCAATAAATTATCAATAAATTATCAATAAATTATCAATAAATTATCAATAAATTATCAATAAATTAGCATTAAGTTAGCAATAAGTTAGCAATAAAATAGCAATAAAATAGCGATAAATTGGCGATAAATTGGCACTAAATTAGCAATAAGCGATAATTTAGCAATAATTTAGCAATAATTTAACCGTAATTTAGCAATAATTTAGCAAAAATTTTGCAATAATTTAGTAATGAATTTAGTAGTAAATTAGCTGAACATGGCGACGAATTAACTTTAAATAATTAAAGAACCTTTTCTGTTATAAATAATATCGGACAGCCATGCAATATGTGATTTAAGTTTCAAATATGTTTGTTTCTTATCATTCTATATACCTACGAATTTAAAAAAGCTTCTACGGCTGTAAAGCGAGTTCATTAAGATAAAAGTGGGGACCGGTGTATGAAGTTTCTTTTCCGAACCTGTATATAAAATATTAAATTTTAGGACACAAGCGATCTGTTACAATTATGGTATCACGAGTGTTGTCGAGTATTTCAAGATCGGCTTGTTGACGATGAGGACAGAAACTGGTTTGACAAGTTATTAAGAATACAAATTCAAAAATACTTCAAGAGAACTCCTGCCAAAATTTTAGGCACCGGTAATGATTTTACGAATTATATTTTACATATACAGTGTGACAAGGTGTTCAGCTGTTCGCATATTTTTAAATCAGACATGGCTGTGGAAGTCAAATGTCGTCCACTTTGTGTAATAAGGTTGACGTTATAAAAATGTAATACATTTTTTGTTTTTACATTCTTTCAAACGACTCCTTCTCGCCATAAAGTAATTTGTGAGCAGATTATTTCATTTTTCTTTTATCTTTATTTCATTATTCCTTTTATCTAACAATAAGTGTTGTTTCTACTTCTATGTCTAATGCATTCGTAAATTCCAAACTGACCTCACCGGCATCATTTATCTTTTCCTATTCTAATCCCTGCTTGGACTCCAATCATATCCAGCTTTAATATTCCCAGTATGACCATCTCTAAAATTATCTTCACATCTGCAGGGAATTTTGTAACCAAATAATTTGGCTGTTCGTAAAACTCTAGTCGCTCGAATTCTACCTGGGGATCATTCTGAGTGATATTACTTCCTTTCGCATTCTTTATTTTCTAGAGACAATTGTATTCGGAGATTTCATCGATCCTACAATTGGGCCAGGAGCGTACGTTCAAATCAAAGATTTTGAAAGATTATCGCAGTCCCTTATTTATTACCTTGACGATTACAACTTACAAAGCACGAAACCTATGAAGTTGGTACTGTTTCAAGACGCTATAAGCCATATTTCGAGAATTTCCAGAATTCTTAGGCAACCTATGGGTAATGCTTTGTTACTTGGCATGGGCGGATCAGGTAAGATTTATTATTTTGTTTTATCCCAAAAATTAGACATAATTTTGTTAGCTGTTACTTTTGTAATGCGCCTCTTATTCCGCCCACCATTCTGACAAGGGGATATTTTATAATTGGGTTTCGTTTTTATCTCTTACCTATCTATTTGTTGACGATTTAAGCTAAGCGATACGTCCTCTAAAGATACATGTTATAACATGTGTCGTGTCATTGTTATTGAATTACTATTTTATTGAAGTGGAACTCAAAAATATAATTTTGAATGTTATAATTATGGGTTCCATAAGAAAATCATCAAACTCTTCATGTTTTAAGTATTTTTAACGATAATTCTTTACCACGTTGTCCGATTTCTTTTTTTTTTTGTTAGAAAGGGGACACCTTAGGGGTACTTCCGTATACAATTGTTAAGGATCTGACGATGAGAAAATCAAAAATCTCAATTTTTAAGGGCATCTGCACGATTTTGACATCGGTTTTTTAAAATTACTTTAACTTGTCTGATAAACGTTCCGCGAGTAGATCAATGTTGCATTCTATGTGACCGGTTTAGTGTTCAATCAAGGATTACTTCATCTTATTAAGGATTAAATACCAAAAATAAAATACACGGCCGAGATCGCTCTCAAATGTAAGGTAAATAAGTTCTAAAATAAAAATCTGATGTGTCCAACACATGACTTTCCTATCTAATTATTATAGGCATTTTCCGGTTATTTTGTACAACCTATTGCAGCATCTCTATAAATGTATAGAGGATAAACTAAATATATACATTTTCCACATACATCTACCTCGAAACATTTTTCTATAGATATTCATTGAAAACGAAAATACAGAAAAATTTAAATTTAGCACTTTTCCATTACGGTCCATTTTAGAAAAATCATATATAAACAAAAATTATAAAAATCGATATCGCAAACAACTTTTAGTTCAACAATTTTCATAAAAATCAGAATTTTGCACATTTTGTCAAATTTCTCGAATACGGACCATTTCAGGAAATTTTGACATAGAACAAAAATTATAGATAATAATATTAGAAGTAACTTTTATTTGAACAATTTTCTTCTCCAAACATAAATAACAGATATATTCCATAAAATATAAAAACGGCCTCCCATAAAGTACCCCCCCAGATGTTCCGACTTTGTCCAAAATCTAATCATTTCACGTCAGGCCGAAATAAACCTTAAGTTTAAAATTTAATGTTTTTTACTTTATCCGTTTTTGAGTTTTCTTCAAATTTCGAAATTTACACATTTTCTCAAATATCTCGAATACGGTCCATTTTAGAGAAATTATGTATAGGACAAAAATTATAGAAAATTATATTACAAACAACTTTTATTTGAACAATTTTTATAAAAAATTATTTTTTTTACATTTTGTCAAATTTCTCGAATACGGACCATTTTAGGAAAATTTTGCATAAAACAAAAATTATAGATAATTATATTAGAAGTAACTTTTATTTGAAGAATTTTCGTCTCCAAACGTAAATAACAGATATATTCCATAAAATATAAAAATGACCACCTATAAAGTACCCCCCCAGATGTTTCGACTCTGCCCAAAATCTAATCAGCTCATTGGACGCTGAAACAAAGCTTAAGTTTAAAATTTGGTGTTTTTCTGTGTATCGGTTCATGAGTTATGCGTTATACAGACACACACACACACACACACACACACACACACACACACACACACACACACACACACACACACACACACACACACACACACAGACACACACACACACACACACACACACACAGACATCATCGCGAAAATAGTCAAAACGGATTCAGGGGACCTCAAAACGTAAAAATCCGTCGAAAACTCGAGGTCGAAAAAAATCATGATTCCTATACTTTCCTTATATCTGTATACAGATAGGAAAGTAAAAAGCGATTGCCACCATACCTCCAGTCCAAATAATGACCGGCTGCCTTATAATATAAAGAACTACTTCCAGGGCAATATGCTCAACTGAACATTGGTTTGACAGTATTATAAAGGTACCATTTGGGTAGGCGCGTCAAGAGACAAGCGACCACTGAAGCGACCCCAAGGTCGAGTAGGACGACAGATGCATAAATGTTACGCTTGGTACATTTCTCAAGCTTGAGAAGTGTCGCACGACACTTACAGGATAACCATTCGAGGGAACGATCAGCGTTGCCAGACCTACTGTTTTCACGTAGATCCACTGTTTTTGCCTCTAGCAAATTTTGTTCTTAATTTATTAAGTTTGCCTCATTCTTCAGCAAATGGTTAAAGAATATTTTCTCTAATAAATGTTCTGCAGTAAAAGCAGCGTAATAAGCATCCACTACTCTAGTTTGGCTCCATAAAAAAAAACATCAAGATAATCATTGTTTATATTTAAAATGAAACAAAGAATTAATAGGGCATCATAAAAAGAACATGCACACAACGATTTTGAATTATCTGATTCAGACTGATCTAAAAGAAGTAGGTACCTATTATTTTTCATTGTTTTTTTTTTGTTTCCGTACGTTAAGTATATATTAAAAATGTTATTATTTGTGTTTATTCTTTATTTACCTTCTAATTTGGGTCGAAAAAAGTTTATTTTTCGTTTCTTATATACTTGTTTTTTTATTTACTACACTGCAAATTTTAATTATTTCCCCCTGTATTAAAATCTACTGTTCAGATCTACGGTTTTTTTTTTCAGCCATACTGTTCCAAAATCTGGCAACACTGCCTAGATCGAAAGAAATTTTCAACCTATTCACCTCCAATCGATGAAGCGATGCTCGAGGACAGTGACCTCGAGTGCGACAGGCAGCAAACCTTTGCCCCGAGTCAGATTCAGAAGTGTCGTCTGACGACACTTCTCGTGTCGCGCCGTGCGAAATGTGTTTCATATAATTGTATGTATTTTAGATGTGAAGCGACACTTCTCGGTCGCGTCGGCGGTCGTATGTCGCGTCGGTGGTCGTCTGTCGCGCCTACCGAAATGGTACCTTAAATCGTGTTCGCGACCGACTTTCTCGATACAACAAACCCTTTGATTTGGCATTTAAGGAGTTAACATTCCACGACCGGCTTCGCCCTATTTGGCGCTCATCAGTTGGGAAGTAGTCAGCTCGAGTAGAATCTCTAATCTATTCTAAAGATAATTTGACTGTTCGAACAATACATAAATGTGTTACCACCTACATAAAGTGCGAACATTTTAAATGAAGATGACGTGACTGGAACTACTTCGTTTGAATAGAATAGAATAATTTTATTAACTATTTTACATAAGTCATTATGTTTATAGCAAATCATAGGTGGTAACAGAATTTGAACAATATAAATAAAACAAATAAAACAATAATTATTAGAGTACCAGAATTTGAACAATGTAAATAAAAACAATAATTATTAGGTACTTATCAAGGTTAAAATTGTGATGAGGCAGAGTGACAGTGAGATGTCTCATACGGACCGAAAATGAGCTACATAATCATTGTAAAAACAATGTCTCAATAGATATTTTTTTAATGTTTTTTTAAAAGCATTATTACTTAAATTTTTAAAGTTCTGCGGTAATATGTTAAATAAGTTATAATTTAGGGAATTTATTTCAGATAGACATAACCTAAAACGAGTATTTCTAATACAATGTGAATTACGTGTCTTGTAATGATGAATATCGGACTGTTTCAGCAAAACAGACTATTTCCTATGAATTTCAACAAGTATATGATGTAGATATAAAGTAGGTAGTGCATAATTTTAAATTTAATCAAATGTGGTTGACAATGTTCTCTGAATCCAATGTTAGCCATAATTCTGATAGCTTTTTTTTGCATCCAGAAGATTTGAATAGATTGAAAAGAGTTTCCCCAAAGTGGTACACCATAGCTGACATGCGAGTGAAAGAGAGAGAAATACGTAGTTTTGAGGGTATTTAAGTTGGTAAGTTTTTTCAACTGCCGAAGAATAAACAAAGAACTAGAAAGTTTTTTCTTTAACTGATTAATGTGGACCGACCAATTGAGTTTGTTATCCAATGTAATACCAAGTAATTTTACGTTTTTTGTTTCACATTTTGAGATAATTTGATTATTGGCAGATATCTGCATATTTTGAGTTTTTTCACTGTTAAGTTTTAATTTGTTGGTTGAGAACTATGTGTTTGCTTTGTCCGCAATTTCATCAAACGAAGAAATTAAATATTTATTATTTTTGTCTGTTAAGATGAGTGTTGTATCATCAGCAAATAAAACTGATTTATTAGGTTGCATAAAACGGCTTAGGACGTTAACATAAACAATGAATAAAAGGGGGGCCCAGGACAGAACCTTGTGGAACCCCTTGCCTTACAGCCTGAAAGTCAGACAGAACATCATTACTCATCACAGCTTGTTGTCTGTTACTGATACATGAATTTATTAGTGCAAGCGGAATTCCCCTAACTCCATAAAAGCTTAGCTTTTCCAGAAGAATATCATGAGAGACGCAGTCGAAAGCCTTTGACTATTGAGTTCGTAAGTGTCATAACATTTAGAATTTTTTAGAGAAGTAATTGCGTCAAAAACTTCAGACTCAAGAACAGGACGGAAGAAAAATGAGCTACAGGGCATAGGAAAATGTTTAAAACTGAGAAGTTCGGCATTCGAAACATTAGGAAGAGATCTTATGATATTTGCAGCAGTTGTATTAAAAAATGTATTTATTTCATTTGGTGTTAAATCAGGAGTTACTAGATTTCTTTTTAAATTGTTTCTTTCGAAATTGATTATTTGCCAACATGCCTTGGCTTTATTGTCTGCTCGAGTAATATATTCATCATAGGCCAGTTTATTTGTTGATTTCAATTTTTCATTGTATTCGCTTTTGAGTTTCTTGTATGTTTTTATGGCATTTGGATCTTTTGTAACGTCTGTTATTAGTTTGATGGTTGAGAGATCGTTTCTTAGAGATTTTAGACTGTTGTTAAACGTGGTTAAACCATATTACTTGTGAATTTCTTAAATTCTTACATTGTCTCAAGAGAAAATATTTCATACTTAAGTTATGGTAAGAGTATTGATAAGAAAAGTTGACAAAAAAAATTACATCATTACCTTTATTACAAAAAATACCCCAATCTATACTACGACTGTTTAAACATATTTATTCTATTATCTGTAATACACCTTTTAAGACATGTTTGATTTTTATTTTTTGTTAGATTATTATTATTATTATTATTATTATTATTACTCACAGTATTACTATATTGGGCACGGTGGTCTGAAAAGGAGGGTTCAAATACACCGGAAGTAAACAATTCGTTTGCCAAATTTGTAATTATGCTGTCTATACAATTTGAAGATGAAGCTGTAACTCTAGTATCATCATGTATTGTGAGAGATAAACCAACAGACTTCAACAAACATTCAAAATTGAAAAGAATTTCAGATTGTGATTTAAAATTAATATTAAACTCGCCTAATATTATTAATTTGTCATACTTTTCTAGTAATTTGTGTAATACAAGTTCAAAATTCACAAGAAAAATATCTGTAGTTCCTTTGCCAGACTTATAGACAGTTAAAATTGTAGCTTTTAAATATGGCAGATCTACAGCAGAGAATTCTGCATTTTGTTCACTAATATATTCGCTTAAGTCAATTAGAAAATATTTCAAAAAATCTTTATTATTTTTTATTTAAATTGCTACACCCCATGTATCATATTTGTTCTACAAAAAGAGTTTGCCGAATTGTAACCGTCAATATTAATGTATTTAAGACATGTTTCACTCTGCCAATGTTCAGAAAAACAGACAACGTCAAAATTGTGATCCACAAGAAAACTGTTAATCATTTCTACCTTATTAGAGATGGATTGTAAGTTTATATGAAACATACTCACCGTACTCTGCTGATTTACATTTTTTTAAATACTAAAATCTTTTAAAATATTGGAATCGTATTTCATATTTAATTCTCTTCTTTCGTTTTTTGAAGAGGCTGAAAATGTTTTATGCAGTTAAATCTTCTTACAGCAGCTTCCTTGGGCCATATAGTTATAAACATCATTGTATTATAAGGTGGCCGGACATTATCCCGACCTAAAATCAGGTCGGGAGGTATGGTGGCAAACGTTTTATTTTCAGAATTGAGGATTATTAGAATAATCGCTGTGCTATGATCGCCACTGATTTTGTCGACCAGTACAAATAGAACTTATTACGAAAAGAAGGATGAATAACTATTCTCGGAAGTAAACCGATTTTTATAGTGGTTGTGCATTCTCTACTACGTTCTGCAGTCCTTCTTAAAGCTCTTACCGAAGGATAATTACACTTAGTGAGTTATATTGCTTTTCATCAGTACGCCTGCTTCAGTGCAAAATTCCACACGTTCTGGGAACAGCCGTTCTCGGCTAAAAATACAAAGAGCCAAGATAATACTAGTAATTATTTTGGTTTTACAAATAACCCCACCCGATGGTTTACCAATAACCCTACCCGTTCCGTCTAGACACGAATCTATCCTGAGAACGCCCAATTCGTTTGAATTGTCGAATCCTTCTCTAACCCTATTGATCGTCGACCTACACATGGAAAATGTAGGTCAGAGATAGTTTCTCTGTTGAAGTGCTCCATAATGTGGGTGAGTGGAGTTCTCGTTACTCTTTGAGTTGTCCATTAGCACTGCGATATCCCCCTCGCGACCCTTTTTTGGTCAATGCGCGGGGTTAGGACAAAAGGTGCTTCACACAAACTAGGTCTGACGACAATAATGATAATGCAAGCGCTCGCACAGCACGACGAAGTGTCGAGTTTTTGACTAGTAAACAACATCCAATTGATTCATTGTCCATATTTGGCTGATTTATCCCCCAACGACTTCTTTTTTTTTTCCAACACAACAAAATTTAAATGAGGAACAAGCATTTTTCATCGCTTGAAGAGGCCGTTGAAGCATTTAAATCACTTGTTTTAGAGGTACCTTGCTCAGAGTGGAAAAATTGTTTTTAAGATTGTTTTCACCGGATACAAAAGAGAATATTTTGAGAAGTAATTAAGCGATTTATATAACGTAATTTATGTTTTCTTTTACATTTTCATTAAACTTTAGAAGGGCTTCTACACTAATTGCTTGCAATATTTTTATTTTGTCGCTTTTTATTATTTCGGTACTTCAAATCAACCTATCAGTTGGACCCACTTACACTCATATTAAATTGGATAAAATGTTTTTGTTAGTTTCCCTTCCTTTATATCATTTTAATTCCATACGAAGTTTTTGTAAATGAGAATTCCATAATTTTCGTAACTTTTAAACAATGACTATTAAATCAATTAGCTTTAAATGTGAATATGGGTGTATTATGAGTTAGGATTTCCTTTAAAAAATCAAAAAAGATACAGGTCCGTATTTAAAAACCAATCTTAATGGTTTTCTGAAATTTCACATTGTTTTTCTTCTCCGTCAAAAATCCACCCTTTATAAAACAAATTAGATTCATACCATGCAATTTTACTGATATATCTGACAAGAAAACAATTGCACAATTTTTCTCTCTAAATCTCATTTTACACGGCGTCGTACGACTTTGTAGAGATATATTGCAACTTTAAACATTTTTGTTGCTGAAATTTAATTTAAAATGTTGCTTCATTTTGATTAGAATTGTGTATTGATTTAAAAGTTTTTCATAATAGCACTTCAAATAAGACATATCTTCAGAAAAAATTTACCTATTATTATTAATATTGTGCAACTACAACTCACCTAACCAATACAAAATTTCCAATGACCGCTAGTAACTTTTTACCAGGTTAGATTGCATCGAACGTGGATAGAGACAACATAAAAATAAAACATGACATGTGTTATATATTTTAAGGCATACAACTTTCATTAAACATACCTGTAGGCATACGCTATGCAAATTTGCGTAACAAAAAACTGGTATCAAACTTGCGTCCTGATAATCGTCTGTATAAATAAACAACATACCTATTGTGGTTAAAAAAAAATTAAAATAGTTCTACAATGCTATTGGAGTTATTTTTTTTTTTTTTGAGCGAACATTATGTATGTTTTAACTATTCAATTTTTTGGACCTGTTTTTTGGACCTGAATGAATATATATTTAATTGAAGGTGCTTACTTGTTTTTCTTTATTAGGAAGACAGAGTCTTACAAGACTGGCAGCCTTCATGGCAGAATATAACTGTTTCCAAATCGAGCTGACTAAAGCTTATGGAACAACTGATTGGAAAGATGACCTAAAAAATGTGATGCTGTCTGCTGGCCTTCTGTTAAGAGAAACCGTCTTCCTCTTTTCTGACACACAGGTATACATTTATAAAAAAAAATCATATTTTATTTAATTAGAGAGAGTGACATTATTTTAACATAATAGCATAATCATTAGTTTTTTAATTGAAAGCTGGAATGAAGGGTAATTCAACCACAAATTTACCACTAATAAAATTAATCACTTGAAACCCTTCAGAAAGTAAAACTTAATAAAAACTCCTGGACTAGAAATATTTTAAAATATTTAATTCAGATAAACAAACCATCTTTTTAAATAGGTTCTTAATTATTATGTACTATTGAACTACCAGGTATAGGGTATACTTAACTTATATAGGGTGTCTCAGAAATATTTTCGTTTATCAATACGTCCGCTGGCGCAATAGGCACATTCCTGAGAAAGGAGGCAGTTGGAAAATGGTGTTAAGTTTTAGTTACAATAGAGCGATTTACGGGACAACAACGTGCTTTCTGTACTCGTGCGTTTTATAAAAACAGTGATTCTTATGTTTTTGTGCGTCTTTTGTATAGAAATCATTATAACATAGCAAGAATGAATGATGTCCCATCTGCAAATTTAATTAAATATTGATTAAGAATGTTTGAAAGTACTGGAAATTAAATTCGACCTAGGGATATCTTTCATTCTTGCTATGTCAAGGTACCATTTCGGTAGGCGCATCAGGAGGCAGGAGACCACCGAGGCGACCCTAAGGACGACAGATGCATAAATGTTACGCTCCGTACATTTCGGAAGCTTGGAGACGGGTCGCGAGATACTTACAGGATAATCATTCGAGGGAACGATCAGTGTTGCCAGACCTACTGTTTTTACGTAGATCAACTGTTTTTGTCTCTAGCAAATGTTGTTCCTAATTTATTAAGTTTGCCTAATTCTTCAGCAAATGGTTAAAGAATATTTTCTCTAGTAAATTTTCTGCAGTAAAAGCAGCGTAATAAGGCATTCACTACTGTAGGTTGGCTCCATAAAAAAAAATCAAGATAATCATTATTTTATTTAAAATGAAACAAAGAATTAATAGGGCATCATAAAAAGAACATGCATATGCCAAACACTACGATTTTGAATTACCTGATTTAGACTGATCTAGAAAAAGTAGGTATCTATTATTTTTCATTGTTTTTTTTTTGTTTCCGTACGTTAAGTATATATTAAAAATGTTATTATTTGTTTTTATTCTTTGTTTATTTTCTAATTTGGGTAGAAAAATAGTATATTGTTTCACGAGTGACGAAAATAACATTTTTTGAAGCGAGAGAACAATTTACCAACCGAGGCGAAGCCGAGGTTGGTAATGTTCGCGAGCTTCAAAAAATTATTTTCGACGAGTAAAACACTACACTTTTTCTACGAACTCTATTATGTCATGTAGGTACCTACTAAAATGAAAAAAAAAAAACAAACGTTAGCAAATGCTTTATTTTGTGTTAGGAATAACAAAAAATTAACTAACAATTAAATATTTCAGAAATATTATTTATTATTTAAATATTGATTTATTGTTATATTTGAACAATTGTTCAAAATTATGGGGGTATCACACTCAAGCTTTTTATTTATCGAGGTAGATGCCGACATATTTGTTCTACTGTTAAATGTCATTTCAGATGATGATGCGCCATAATCGGATGAACTAGTAGTTTCCTTATTTTGTACAGATTGTAAAATTTTGGTTTGTATTTGGTTTTTACTGTTCGTGGATTCATCAACATATCCTTCCGCAAAACTACTAGATTTCCAACCACCGTGCTTTTTTAACAGAAGCAAGTCACCTCCTGCATCCACTAATAGCGTTGCGGATGTTCTGCGGAAACAGTGCCCAATGTAATCTTGAGGATTCGGAAGCGTTAAAAACTGAGCAATTTCGTTAGGAAATTTACTGATCTTATTAATTCCAACAACCTGTCTGCTACACTTTCCGTTCTGATAGTTAATAAAGAATCTTGAATTAATTTGATCCATGTTTGCGGGACGTAGGCGCATATATTTTTTAGAAATATCATAAAAGGATCCAGAATATGAAAAGAACGCGGAACTTTTGTTTTTGTATTACGGATTTTAACTAACAGAATACTTCCAGTATCCTTTACATCGCTTATTGTTAAATCTTTTAGTTCGTGGCAACGACAAGCGCCAGATAATCCAAAAACTAATGCTACCTACAAATATTAGTAGTTATGTATTAAGTATTTGTTAAAATAAAAATAATAATTCCGTTACCTTTGTTATTAAATATTTATAGTCAGGTGCATTCTTTAGGAAAGTCTTTATGTCTTCAGGCGAAAAAATTTTGGATTTTTGGCTTTTAAAACCATCAGATTTTCTTTTCAAAAGCGAACGTAACTTTGGATATTTACTAATATCGACATCCTTTTTAACAGAGAGTGTAGTTCTTAGCATCGAATAAATGAACCATAACGTCGACGGTTTAAAATTTGAACATATTTCTCCAAAGTATGCTAGTAGTACAGTTTCCGAAAATGATTTCACTTTATTTTTTTTCTCCAGTTCAAAAATTTGATATAAATTTCTTCATATCTCTTTTTTGATTTGGCCGGTAATAAATCTGAAGAGGTTTCTTCAGCTTTAAAAATAATTTCTGGGGGAGTACAATCGCTTTCTGACTCAGACATCATGAAACTGAAACGAACTGAAACTGACAGTTCTCAAAAGTGATAAAACTTCAAATAAACAAATGAAAACCAGGAAACTAGATGTAGATTGGTTTAATTTGCACTATTTTTATACAATTTTATTTTATCTTTAATTTATTAAAGTTTAGGTAAAAACGCATATAGAATTTAATGAGCATCTTTTTATTTCATTATTAATAATTATAAGCTGCCAAAATATTATACGAGGCGACTGATATATGAAAATATGTAACAACTTACTTTCGTCACTAGAGACGAAAGTAAACGTTATGGGATTTTTCTCACTAGTGACGGAAATCAAGTTTTCGCTGAAAGTATCCTGTGGCGAAAGATGTCTTTTTGTAAGAGTTCGTAGAAAAAAGTTTATTTTTTGTTTCTTATATACTTGTTTTTTTATTTTTTTATTTATTACACTGCAAATTATAATTAAATTATAATTATTTCCCCCTATATTAAAATCTACTGTTCAGATCTACGGTTTTTTTTTCACCCATACTGTTCCAAAATCTGGCCTATAGGTTTCCAACCTATAATTACCTCCAAATAGAAGCGATGCTTGAATACAGTGAACTCGAGTGCGACACGCAGCAAACGCTTTGCCCACGATACACAAACAACGGTATGCTGATTTGTAAACTCAAATTCGACCGTCTCTGCGCATGACGTCACTATGGATTCAAAACATAAATGTCACATTTAAATTTAAATGGTTATTGTTAGAATTTTGTTCGATTTTTGTATAATATCGGGTAGTGAGTCTTTGTGTTTGTTGTTTATGTGTTAACTATTACAACGTACGTTTAATTTGTAAATATATCAATTTAAAAGTAGCATACATTTTAAGAAAAATGCCGAGCTGTGCAGTGGCGACATGTAAAAATAATAACAGAAAAACACAAGGAACGGGCATAAAATACTTTGGATTTCAAAAAAATGAATATTTGGCGAAGCAGTGGATACAAGCTTGTCGGCGGGAAGATAAAATTAATTTAAAAAATGGTAAGTAAGAACCTTATTAGATACCGTTAATTTAAAAAATGATAAATGAGATAGGTAGGTGTTTTAAGACAAGCTCCTATTTACGACCACTTAGGAAAGGGACACATATCACACTTTTTATGGAAAGTGCCCTTATTATCATCATCACACGCGTATGAATAGGAATCCACTTTCCAGTTTCCACCCTTGTGCGATTATAAATCTACTTTCCATATCAGCTCTCACATAATGCCAAACGCAAGTTGCGCAAGTTCTAGAAGGCGAATTTTACAAAATGCACGGGCAGTCTTTAAGCAAAGATAAAGATATATTCAATAAGTTAGCTCAAAAAACTGCAGCTCAGTTGCAAAAGACACCCGTGCAATTTGAAGTAATTTTGTGTTTAAGTAGAACACGAACGTATATTAGATTAAGGGATATTAACAGAAAGATAAGTTTAAACAACTGTAAACGAAAACTGGAAAAAAAGCTATCCAAATTCACAAATAAGAAATAATTAGGTATTATTTTAGAAACTACAAGTTTTGTAAATCACCCTGTATAACCAACAATATTGTTCCAAATAAAAACTCTAAATCTGTTGTATTTTTCTTACCATAGTAGTTCCGATATTTATAAAACATGTTGCAAAATTTTTTCCACGAAAATGGTTTTTTTTTACATAATAGTTATAAATAATATCACCAGTTAACTTAAAAAACAATTTATTTGATTACAATGAAATGTATTTTTTTTTTTCTATTAAACAATGAAAATTATATATTTTATAGATCCTTTTTAAATATAATTTAACTTAAAAATTAGATTTTTGTGGAGCTATCCCAGAATATTCTTCCCGCGATCCGCCTTTAGCACATGCCTGATAGGTATAAACATTAAATAAACACACACAAATTGTATTTTCAAATAGCAATTATTATACTTTATTACCGCAGATATGAAACTATCTATTAAAAACTTAAATAAAATTATCGTGACCGAAATTGTACTTCTCCATACGTATTTTACATTAAAGATTTAAAATTCTGAATCCAAGGTGACGTCACGTTGTGGGAGAGAGATAGACTGCTACATGCGTACCGGCATACCGTGGTTTGTGTATCGTGGCTTTGCCCCGAGACAGATTCAGAAGTGTCGTCTTGACGACACTTCTCGTGTCGCGCCGTGCGAAATGTGTTTCCTATAATTGTATGTATTTTAGATGTGAAAAGATAATTCTCGGTCGCGTCGGCGGTCGTCTGTGGCGTCGGCAGTCGCCTGTCGCGCCTACCGAAATGGTACCTTTATAATGATTTTTGTACAAACGACGTACAAGAATATAAGAATCGTTGTTGTTTTTATAAAACACACGAATACAAAA